TTTGATATTGGATTTCTATAGATGACAAAAATAAGAAGAAAAAAAAAGGACTGACACTAGGCACTAAGTTAATAAGTTAGTCCCAAAAATGATACAAAATAGTACCAAAATCCATATAAAACATCTAAGATGGATAATATAATGGGACAATTACATTTGAGCCCCTACATGTGTCACACCCGTGTGTTTTGCCCCTAAATTCAAAAAACCCTAATTTCTATCCAAGCTCGTTTACTCCTCTTACATTTTTGCCCTTTGACCGTTTGACTGCAACTGTGAAAACTTCATAACGAATTAATACTAACTCAGAAAAATGCAAATAAGATATCAAAATGATTGGAAAAACATCACCTATATGTGCATGCCATTTGCATTCATGACAAAAGTACTGAAAAGTCCCTATCTCAGTTTGAGCTCATATGATGTCTTTTGTCATGAATGCCCTTTTTGTCATGAATGCAAATGACATGCACATATAGGTGATGTTTTTCCGGACATTTTGATATCTTATATGCATTTTTCTGAGTTAGTATGAATTCGTTATGAAGTTTTCAAAGTTACGGTCAAACGGTCAAAGGGCAAAAACATAAGAAGAGCAAACGAGCTTGGGCAAAAACGAGGGTTTTTTGAATTTAGGGGCAAAACACACGGGTGTGACACAACTAGGGGCTCAAATGTAATTGTCCCTAATATAATAGCATGGAACAATCGAAAATTACAGATATGTTGGAGACGTATTAGGGCACGCACCTCGGCGACCCGGCTAGGCTCGGCCGCAGTCGGCATGAAGCCATTAGCAGCGTCGCGCTCCCGCTGAGCGGACTCCTGCCGACGCTGCGTAGCAGCGAGCGACGTGGCCTCGTCTAGAAGGCGCACGCGCTCCTCGTCAAGCCGAGCCCTGACCTGGGTGGCGTCAACGTCGGTGGCGATGGGGATGCTGAGGTTCTGCAACGCCATGCACAGCGCGTCGGCCACGTTGGTGCGGGCCGCGGCGGCCTTGGCCGCGGTGCTAGCCGAACAGGAGGTAGAGCCGGTGGTGAGCACCTCCACGTAGGTGCAGAGATCCACCACGTCGCTAGAGATGGCGCAACTGACGGGGACAGGGGAGTTGATGAAGTTGAGCACCCCGTTGGGGTACGCGCCAGGGTGAGCGTGATGAAGACGCGTTGCGCGCCGAAGGGGACGACGGACGAGCCTACAAGGCTGGCCGGCGCTACGCCGAGTGCGGGGACCAGGCCGTGCACAATGCGCTCGCCGGAGTCGGTGAAGGGCCTTGTCTGGAACTTGACTCCGGCCGGTGCCGCAAGCAGCACCACGGTGGGCACCAATTGTCGTGGTGATCTCGCGGCAGATGCCATGGGATGGCAAAAAATGGGCGGAGACACAAGGGCGTCGGTGGGTTCCAGAGGCGAGGTTGGCACGCGCTGGTGTTTGACACGAGACGTATCCAGGTTTGTGGCCCTCCATGGGAGGTAACACCCTTAGTCCTACTGAATGGATGATATGTGATTGGTTACAGAGTTGTTCCTGGAGCTGTTTGGGTGGAGGAAGAGGAAACTGGTCCTCTACTCTGCCTCGTATGTGTGAGTGGATTCTACTGATGATCGCATGTTTGCTGCCCGCGTACATGGAGGGCTCTGGGTCTTGTAGGCTGACCCACAGTGTTACAATGGTAAAGATACAAAGGTGCGGGTCCCTGATGTCATCCTCAGGGAGCCGGCAGTGAGGGCCGCCGGCCTGCCGGGTCCGTCGGATGCGGGTCTCGCCATGTTCGCCGGATGCGGGCTGTACTGGGGCCGCTGGCGCGGGTATGGTCGGCTGCTTGGTATTGTGACACGCCCCGCCAGGCCTCAATGGACGGTCAGTGCCGCCCTGCTACAGGGTTGCGTCGCTGAGACAGCGCTCGCCCCGGATGGGGGCATGGGATGCACTGTTGCCGTGCCCATCGGGGCCGGCGTAAAGGGAGGAGCATTGTAGCCATGCCCGCTGGTTGTTGGGAGTTGTCTTCTTGTGACCAGCCGGCAAGCGCCAGTCGGCTAGGCCGGGTCACGGTACCCGGCCTGCTCGCGCTGGGGAGCCAGCGGGTTGGCGAGCCAGATTAAGGGGCCTAGCTTGCCCCGATGTTTTAAAAAAGGATTGAGGTTCGGTTGCCTGCTCGGGGCCATCCCTGACACATGCAATCATGCAACTACATTTATTAGATTGGTTTATAAGACATTTTTGCAATCTAATTTAAACTGACAGGCGTCTTATACTTAGATACAGAGGGAGTAGTTTAGAGTTGAAATGTGTATTTCCTTTTCTATCTGAAATGCATGTAAATGAACAGCAATGTCATACTTTGAGCTTGGCATATATATATATGATCTATTTTATTTTAGTATACCTGGGATGCATTATGGGTAGTACATGTGGAGTGCTTTCTGGTTATGCTTTTTTAAGGATGACCGACGGGACTTCACAAGTCCTCCGGATCTCACCCCATTGACTTTGGATAGAGTTTCTCGATAGACAAAAACTTTGTCTTGATCCGTTTAATGCGCGTGAACGGCACCAAGCTCACATGCAATGGCTGTAATTAGTTGGGGTTTCGAGGTCAAACCAGCCGCTAGCGTGACTGTGAGTCGTTTGGAAAATGGGGCAATTTACACAGTGTGTAGTGTGTACGCTACACAAGGTCAAGCATGAGTGTAAGTCATTTAAAAATGGAACTTGCATGTTGCAAGTACACGACAACCGCAATCAATACCTTAAGCAGTTAGGTTTATACGCATATGAACAGATCTTTATCTCAGAAGTGACGGAGATGGCACAGCCTGTAAGATCAGGTATTTACCCGCAAAAAAACAAAGATGTTGTATATTAACGCCACTTGTGATATTTATAAATGATGATCGGTCCAAGGACCTGGCAAATCATCGATACTGCACCCCTTGAGGAAGAATTTGATCTAAGCCATTGGCTTTTTTCTTTTCTTTTGCCGATAATTTCTTCAGAAAATTTTTCCGTGTCAGTGTTAAAATCTTGAGCTCTTTCAACCTTCTATGATCAACATTACTCTTGGACGAGTGTTTCTGTAAATAATCTGAATCGTGAACACTTCAAACATAGTTTATAGAGCTGAACTTCCTGAAATGCATTTGAATGAATAATTTTAAAATTGTCACAAGGATAATTCAGTAGAGGATGCACATAGGTATCGAGAGAGAAAAGAATTCTTTCAATTTTTTATCTTTCATATCTTTTGATTGAAAAGTCCAAATAAAATTACATTTTGAATATGTTTCAACGGACTGTTCACATTTCATTAAGTTTCAGCTTTTGAAACTTTACAAGCGATCGGCAAAATCGTACATTTTACAACCTGTGAGCAGCAATACAGTAAGTTTTAAGTTTTAACTTGTGTAACTTGGTACGAGCGGCTGACAATCTCGTAAGTTTCAAAACAAGCGGCTGACAAAATTGTAAGTTTCAGAAACTAAAATTTACTTAATGTGCCCTGGTGCGGGATCCAATGACTTTGTCGATCGTGAGGCAATCAGACGGCTCGCGCGACTGGGCAAGTGCATGCCCTTGCAAATTTCCAATATCGAGAGGCATCGTTGCATTGAGACCAAAGCCTAATTTGTGTTGACAAAGAAAAGTGTGGATACAACTGCATTAGTTAGACTGGTTTAGGCAACTTGGGGCCGCAAGCATTAACCACGACAAAAAAATTATGACTGATCAAAGGACCTAGCAAATCCTCAATAGGAGCACTCTTTAGTAAAGAGTTCAGTGTGGCCATTGACTTTGAGCTTGCCACACCTATATGGAAAAGATCGCATATTCCATCTTTTTTATTTATTTTTAGTTTTTTTGGCAAGCATGGCAACAACCCTCAAAAGAGGGCTCCACATATTTTATAGCAACCTAGGCAATGTACAGAGATCAAGTTTCCTCCAGGAAAAGAGATGGCTTCAAAAGCCATTTTGGAGTTACATCTGGAGCATTTCGGTGTGACAATGAATAAATTATTTTCAAAAGACATTTGCAAAAAGCATTTTTAGTGGGCATGACTCATGAGCATATGCTCCCAAAAGCCGAACTGGATTTATGGCAACTAGAGGCAATTCTATTAGAGAAAGCTTCTTTGCAAGATTATGAGCTATAAGATTCTTGATCCTTGGGATGCTCAATCCCGTAAGAACTAATATACAATAGGTGTCAGCGCTAGTTGGAGTACATTGGCTGTCCAAAAAATGAAAGATGCCATGCATTACCGGCATAGTAGTATTTGCTTATGATTTGTTCACAAGGATAACCGGCGGAACGTAGCATGTCATGTACTTCACCTCATTGACATTTGGCCAGAGTTTCTTGTGAGAGAGAAGCGTGCACGCGGCCAGGCTCATATGGGGTCAATTAGTTGGGGTTTCAGGGTCCGGGTGACTACGAGTCGTTTGTAAAAGATCTTGATAACGTCCAAACGTCATGTACGAGCACATGGCAACTCCGAACATTTTCGACGGCAAGTTTAGTTATGTGAGGATGGCAACTTTAGTTGGTTAGGATAGTATTTTTTCTGCTTCAGTTTATTTTTAACAGAACCTGGTTGGGACCTCAGGTCTCAGATGTTAGGTTTGGCTGCGATGTCTGTTTGGTATTAGGCCCAGACCATCAGCGCCCCTTCATCAATTAGATAGGAGTAGCGACAGAGGTTGCGAAGATGGTGGCTTTGGTCTTACTGTTGTACGACTTTATAAGGTCTTGTGTTATAATCAATAAAGTGGCCGTATGCATCGTCCAGATGCAGAGGCCGGGGGTATTCCTCCTTTTCGAAAAAAAATGTGTCACCCGAAAAAAATATTTGGGATGGGGGAGAAAATAGTACTACTAACTAATGCGGATGGCAGCAATTAGTTGAATTAATTGGAGGAACTATCAAAAAGAAATGGAGTGCTCATCGCTGCTTATAAAAACGATGACTTGCAGGAAAGTTAGATACACCCAGGCCCAGCATGAGCATGCAACTAATGTCGACGGCACTGACACTACTGCTGCTCCTTGCGGCAGCGGCAGCTACCACCGCGACCACTGGTGGGTGTCCGCCGAGCTGCGGCGGCGTGGACATCCCCTACCCCTTCGGCATCGGCCCAGGATGCTTCCGCAAGGGCTTCGAGATCGAGTGCACCAAGGACGGCCCTGTCCTCGCCGGCACGCCTCTCCGGGTGGTGCGCCTCTCCGTGGACCCAGACGAGTCCGAGGTGCTGCTCCCCATCGGGTATCACTGCTACAACGCGTCCAGCCCCAGCTCAACCGAGGACTTCAGCTACGCTGAGACGGAGATGAACAAGGACGGCGTGTACCGCATCTCCAACACGCACAACATGCTCGTCGTCGTCGGCTGCAACACCATGGCCTACACCGGCAGCGGGAAGACCGAGGGCGGCACCGACAGCTACGCCTACTACACCGGGTGCTTGTCCTTCTGCAACAACTCCGCGAGCGCGCAGGACGGCCTCTGCGCCGGCGTCGGCTGCTGCCACGTCGACATCCCGCCGGGGCTCACCCACAACTACTACAAGTTCCGGCCCTACGACCACTCCACCATGATGGACTACAGCCCCTGCGAGTACGCCTTCCTCGTCGACAGGACCAACTACACCTTCCTCCGCTCCCACCTCAAGATGGACACCAAACGGACCTCGCCGGTGTGGCTGGACTGGGCCATCCGCGGCAACAGCTCCAACCCCGGCGACACACCGTCGTGCAAGCAAGCGGCCAAGACGGGTCAGTACGCCTGCGTGAGCGCTGACAGCCGCTGCGTCGATTCCACCAATGGGCCTGGCTACAACTGCAAGTGCTCTGATGGCTACGAGGGAAACGCCTACTTTGCCGGCGGATGCACGGGTAAGACCCACCATTCTTAATTTTGTGTTTTCGTTCAGGTCCCGATCGATCTACTGAGATCTTATCAAAGTCCCAATCAATTTGGAAAATGCAAATCAATTCTCTTTGGAAAATGCACTTTTTACGAACCCATGGAGAATAAAAAACTCTCAAACTACTAAGACCTAGCAAAACCATTTTCTTTATTCATCTACATCCTAATTAACGATTGTTTCTATCATTGTGCGACACAGATATTGATGAATGTGCAGATCCAGCCAAGTATGGTTGCTACGGTGTCTGCACGGATATCCAAGGAGATTACAAATGCGAATGCCCTCCAGGTTATCGGAGTCGTGATCCAAGAACCGAACGATGCACTCAAAAGTTCCCACTTGCAGCACAGATTTCCGTAGGTATATATCATACTCCTACTACACGAGTTACTAATTTTCAATGTACTTAACAGGTGTTGTTGATTGATTAATTATATATTCATAATAATATTTTGGACTATATGTACCACATTCTAGGTAGTACGTAACTTTTTTATCATATTACTCCCTCCGTCCGGAAATACTTGTCCTATAAATGAATACAATGAATGTATCTATAACTAAAATAAGTCTGGATACAACCATTTCTTGGACAAGTATTTCCGGACGGAGGGAGTACTTTATACATACAAATATGAAGTTATTTTCAAAATATACTAATAACTATGGACTCACAAACAATTTTTTCATATATCTCACTTTGAAAAATCTTAGATATAGTATATGAACATACTTAGAATGAAAAATTATTATATATACTACTTCCTCCGTTTCTAAATATTTGTCTTTCTAGAGATTTCACAAGTGATTACATACGGAGCAAAATGAGTGAATCTACACTCTAAAATATGTCTATATGCATCCGTATGTGATAGTTCATTTGGAATCTCTAAAAAGAAAAATATTTGGGAATGGATGGAGTACATGGTAGTATAGGAGACATGAGGGTAACTACCAGTTGGTACATATTAGGATCCCTAATTGAATGGTTCAGTTTGTATGTATCTTGCTATCCACTTTTTTAACATATTTGCCCGCACTTCAAATCAAGAGTAAAAACAAAATTTAATTTTGTTCATTACAACAGTTAAATTGGATGACAGACAAATTAATGTCAAGAAACTTTGATTATTACAATAGTTTTAAATTTGTTTCTTTGCCCATGTAGGTGCAATAGGTGGCATTCTTGTCTTGGCATTTCTGGCATTCTTTTTTGTTCTTCGCAAAGAGAAGCAGAAGGCCAAAGACTTTTACCAAAAGAATGGTGGTCTTACATTAGAGAAAGCTAGAACTATTAAGATTTACACAAGGGGGAATCTCAAACCAGTTTTAAAGAGTAGCAATGTAATTGGTAAAGGTGGCTTTGGTGAAGTTTACAAGGGTGTTGTTGATGGAGTTATCGTTGCAGTAAAGAAACCAAATGGTCGTAGTGTCCTAGAGAAGGAGCAATTTCCAAATGAAGTCACCATCCTGTCTCAAGTCAGCCACAAGAACATCGTAAGGCTTATAGGTTGTTGCCTCGAAGTGGATAACCCCATGCTAGTCTATGAATTCATCTCCAAAGGAAGCTTGGAGGACAATCTTCATAGAGCTGACAACAAGGAGCTTCTTGACTTGGATGTACGTCTAAGTATTCTTGAAGACTCAGCACATGGTCTAGCTTATATGCACTCACAAACCCATAACACAATCCTGCATGGTGATGTCAAACCAGCAAACATACTCTTGGATGAGAACTTTTCCCCAAAGATCGCGGATTTTGGCATATCAAAGTTGATTGCACAAGGCAAGGACCACACTAGAAACATCATAGGTGACATGTCTTATATGGATCCCGTGTACCTACAAACAGGTCGATTGACCGACAAAAGTGATGTCTACAGTTTTGGGGTCGTCATCTTAGAGCTCATTAGCAGGAAGAGGGCCACTCATTCTGACAATAATAGCCTAGTGAGGAGCTTCCTAGAGTGTCACCAAAATGGGGAGACAATGACTGAGCTCTTTGATAAGGAAATTGCAACGACCAGAGATTTGGAACTTCTCAACAAGTTGGTAGAGATTGCTGTTCAGTGTCTTAACCTTGAAGCAGATCAAAGACCGTCAATGACAGATGTTGCAGGTCGCCTTGTCACGCTGCATAGGTCCCGTAATCCTTAGGTTTGTTTCCAGATGGGAGTTTCAACAGCATGTATGTTAAGTCGAATAAGATAGGTAACTATCACTGTCAACCATTGTTGTATTTGTTGTTCCAAGAAATTTGTACTACTGTAGTGAGTAACTTTGTATTTCATATGACCAAATGCATGGATTGATTTCCCGACTACTCCCTCCGTCCGGAAATACTTGTCTTAGAAATGGATAAAATGGATGCATCTTATAACTAAAATAAGTCTAGATACAACCATTTGTAGGACAAGTATTTCCGAACGGAGGGAGTACATTGTATTGTAATAGGGTTGTGATTTAATACATGGGTTAGGTACATCACTAGTACAGTATGCAGTTTTTTTTTTTCTCGGCAGAGACACCTGCCTTAGATTGCTTCTAAGATTCAAGTCAAAACGGAAAAGCTGAGTAAAGATAATAGGGTTGTTGAAACGCAACCTCGCCTAGCTAATGCATCAGCCATCGAATTTGCCAAGGGAAGTACCACCATCTGAAGACCAAAAGACATTGTTTCCTGGTTGGATTTTGCTAACTGCATACCATATACGCCTAGGATGACTTTAGTTTTGTTTGGTATTCTAGGGCACCATACTAGTAGGTTTTTCTATGTGTAGTTGTTGTTAAGGTCCTGCTCGACCCCATGAGGTGGAGCGTGAGTTTCACTCTGAAATCCTAGGGCCTCGCCCATGTGCCGGTAGTTCCGTTCAATTTTCATCGGCTAATTTGACGTCACCCATTTTTTCTGTGTGCACTAAGGGTGTGTTGTACTCCCTCCGTCCCATGATATAAGAGCGAACTTGAATTGTGTTGTAAGCTCTGTATTGCTTGGTTTCTTGCAAGAACGAGTGGGGCGACCTATATAGAGGTATTTTGAATAATGCCTTGGTTTCTTGGTTTCTTGGGTGATGGGGTATGGAAGGCAACAATGCATCATCCGTGAGGCTAGTACTAAAGTCCAGGCAAATTATTTTCCAGAATCAATTAATATGAGATATCAAGATATTTGAATGGACTTGTTGTACCTTGGACGGACCAGTACTTAATACTCACGAATTAACGAACATCATAAATAACCATATCTCCATCCAAGCATGTTTAGCTTTGCAAGAAATTCCTGCATCCTGTTTCTTCGATGAGTTCTACAACCTTTATGTTTTTTAGAAACTTTACAACCTTTATGCGCATACTGAAAGAATTAATCGGACCTTCATCGTTTTATTGCCCAAAAAGGACTCTGCGGCAACACCTGACACTTACCGGCCCATTTCATCGGGTTGCATGCGTGCACTGCATGTCGGTGGGGTATATTCATCTGGTTGCATGCATGCACTGCATGCAGTGGGGTATATTCATCGGGTTGCATGCGTGCACTGCATTCAGCGGGATATATTCATCGGGTTGCATACGTGCATTGCATGCGCTGTGCAGACCATAGTATTTCTATCAATGATCATAATTACTATGCCCTTGAAGCCACAAAGGAAAGGCTGTTTGCAGCAAGAGAGAAGGCTCAAACAAAGCAATGGCAGTTCAATATGGCCCGCCAGCAAGTAAGCACAAAGCAAAACGAGTTTGCAAGACAGACAATGATTTTGGCAAAGATATGCAATGGCTTCTTTGATATATTACCACTTTGTATGTATCCCCAACGCCCAGACAGCGACGATCCCATTATCACATATAAGGGCGCGCACCCTCCCGTCGGACGTATCCAAGAACTTGCAAAATCACATTATCATTTTATCACAGGCACCAATCCTGTAGGAGGATATACTAGGATGATCTAATCCATTAACAACTACTTCTAGCTTATCTATGTAGTGTGTTTGTGTTTTTATATACAGTTCCCTGTCTGCAGCGAACTGTATGTAGTTTGAATAATTTGTTTGCCTCAAGAGTGTGCCGCTTTTAATTTGTACCTTTGTATCCCTACATTTGCAACATTTCAATAGCTTCGTATGTTCGATTGCTTCAATGTCTCTATATATTATTCTAAGATTAAATCAGCATGCACTGATCCACTCTTGAATCAGTAGATTGAACATATCTGCGAGTGATCATCGAGCGCGGCGTGCCGCCGCGCGGGTTAGGCTAGTACAAGCAAGAGGGGCACAGGTAAAAGTTATCTTGGTTTGAACTCCAAAATAAGATTTTAGTATCTGTTCTCCAAAGCCCTCACAAAGATATACAGCATCAATCATACATCTAGTATGGGTTAACTTAAGAGCATCTCTAGCAGACTCCTTATATCGCGCCGAACTACAAAATAACTGCCGATTAACAGTTTTGCGAGAAAAAAATGGCTCGAACAAATACAATATCGGACCGCGGCCTTTAAAAAAATTACGGGGCGCGGCAAATTCTTCCCCTCAACCTTTAGAAACACGGGGCGGGAGGCCGACTCGAGGGTGACCTCTATCGCTAGCAAGATTTGGCGGGAGGGACATTTCCGCGCGGCAGTTCCCTCTCTCCCTTCTGCCGCTCTTCCTTCCACTACCACGAAGGGCAGGACAAAAAATGTTATGCAAGTTCTTACCACATGCACGTATTGAATTGGAGCTATATATGAAATACATGCCTATATATGATGATTGAATTGGAGCTATTGTGTATTACTCTAGGTTGTGACCGTTACATAATGAATTTCATACAAATATCCATCACTACTCCATGTCTACGCTTTTATAATGTTGTCTTTGCTCAGGTTACTATTAGTGTTGCTGCTACACTTGCTACCAAATTGCTACTTTTACTGTTACTACTGCTACTACTATTTCCACTTCTATAATATCGTGCTACTAATAAATTGCTGCAAGAAAGTGACTTCTTCTTTTTGAACACCACCTCTAATATTAATTAATCAAAAGAGATGTTACAATCGTTCATTACAGAATTCACCACACGGGGCGGTACATCATTAATAAGAATACCATCCGATCTATTATCAAAAAGCAAAATGTTGCAATTGATGAGCTACCCCATTGGCCAAGCGACTAATCTTGTTGATTTGTAAACTATTAATCAGCTTAGCGATACTCCTTGCTTCCTTCTTCAAATCGAGCAAAGATGACATGTCAACAAGATCATTTGCAAGAAAGTGACTTCTCAGGTGTGATTGAATTGACAACTCAACTGCTAAGGATTATAAATATATTTTGACTCCCCTTGTGTCGAATCAATAAATTTAGGTGAAATACTACCCTCAAAGACTACGGTCATCCCCTATACTTGTGGATTGTCACAGACTTCCTCTATGTGAAAGCAAAAATAAATCTCAACAAGAAAGAAGATATTATTATCAGAGAAAATTCCATCTTCCTTATTCAGTTCAATATTGCATAGATAAGATGTTTGTCAGAGACACCCACAAGAGATAATACACCTTACATTTTTCAACGGGCATAAGTATAATAATACAGCTTACATTATTCAGCAAACATAACTGTAATAAGTATTATTTTTTATCCGTTATCCGAACCAATTGGGTGCCAACTTAGCTCAGTTCTTGACAGATACATTTATAGTAGCAGCAATCCGGGCCCGCCTTGTCCTTGCAAACACAACCAATTTATTGGCGTCCGGAAGAGCCGCCTTGGCAGCGTCCAGCGTAGTGAAGCGCTCCACCCAAGCAAGCAGAAGTGGGGTATTCGCGGTGCCAAAGAGCTTGGTACCACATAGTTCTTCAGTTCCTTGCAGAAACGCCAACAGGCCGCCTAGTGCTATATCCACGTATCCAACGTTATCACCTCCAAAGAAGGGCTTCCCGTTGGAGCATTCCTTGAGAGCCCCCTCTAGCACATTCACCCCCACTAATATTTGCTTTATCGCTTCAGTCTTATCCTCCTCAGTGTTGGCTGTGAACGCCACTTTCCACGGGATGACTAGCTGCATGCACACGCACAAATAGCATCATTGATCAACTCACCACGTATCATATGTAAAATCGATAACACAAATCAGACACTTTAAGCACCTTGTGGTCAATGTAGTCTACCCAAAACCGAGCAATGGCACGCTCGTAGGGGTCAGTGGGTAGGAGGGAGGGGCCGGTGCTGCCATAGGCCTCGTCGATGTACTCAATTATGACGACCGACTCACAGATTGGCTTGCCGTTGTGGATGAGCACGGGCACCTTCTTGTGCACTGGGTTGAACGCGAGGAGGAGGTCACTCTTGCTGTTGAGGTCCTGCTCGATGTTCTCGTAGCTCAAGCCCTTGAGGTGGAGCGCGAGTTTCACCCTAGAAGCCCAGGGGCTCGCCCACGTACTCAACAGCTTCAGCTCACCTTCGCCAGCCATATCTCCTCCGCAACGCGCTATGGGTGTGTGCTGCAGATTTGAACTTTGATTGTACTGATGTTTACTGTGTTTTGCTTGGTTCCTTGCTATAGCGAGAGGAGTGACTTATGTAGAGCTTGTGTGATGGAGTATGGAAGGCAAGAATGCGTCATCCATGAGGCCAGTGCTAACGTCGAGGCTAATGATCCTCCACAATCACTTAGTTTACGATATCCAGACATTGAGTGGACTTTTTGTACAATGTTTACCAAAAATAGTGGGTCGTTGCTTGCGGATTACCAGTTAACTTTCATGTCAAGCTTCTCAAGACATTAGTCATGCCTTGGAGAGGAAGGCTAGGAAGTAAACAGATTATCAGAGTCGTCCCTGACATCCCCAGCCGGTCATCCTGAACCAACTTAAGAATAGTCCTGCACAAGGACATAAACCATCCCATATAATACAACGTAGTACTTGGTCGCACAAACTTCAAGCATGCGTACACACTCTGCAATCACACAGAACTAGTCTGAACATGTCAGATGCCCAAATAGTCATTCTCCAAACAGTGCATCCATCCCTTTCAAAATACCTCTGCAGTATGAATTTGCAATTTGGGTGTTGATGCAAATGGCTGTATTACAAACAAAGAAGATGTAACATCAAACAATTTTCCACGCCACATACTAGTCAAACTTAAAAAGATTTTTGACTTAGGACAAACCTGGAACTTCACATATTTTGAATGAATCAGATAGAGTAGTAGTACATACTATTAACATAGATGAGAGGGGCAACGGAAACATGCAGGCTTCAAATATTTTGTGTACAGCTCTCCAAATAGTCGATATGGTCGAACAAACAAAGTGAGGGTTTACAGGAATATAAGTTTTCCATCTCCGATTACGAGAAATGAGCAAAACGGGCAAATTAATAAATCAATAGCAGGGGGAGAATAAAAGCAACACAAGTTCACAGCAAATCAAGCACCTAATTAAATTAGTTAGCCCTATCAACCACAGTCCATACATCCATTCTGTACAATGTTTTCGACAAGGACACCATCACTCCCATCACAAGGGTACAAAGGAGCTACGACGACGATGCTGTACACGGTGAATCTAGAGCTACATTCATGACGGCGAACCGAGCGAGCACTCAAATAGATACATACACAGCCAGCCTACTGTCTTGTGTTGTGTGCTTTTCATAAGCAAGCAGCGAGTTTATCAGCTTTGCATAAGTTGCCCAACATCTCCCCAAGTTGCTCATACAAGTTTCTCTGCTCCTCGTACGTCAGGTTTCTTAAGATCTGGATAATGGCAAAAAAAGAAGGTAGAATGTGGCTGGATGAGAACCACGATGAAAAGGATAATAATAAGATCAAACGAAAACCAACCACGTGCGATAGATACGGACCTGATCCAAGATTGCGTCAACAGAGAAATTGTGGGGCGAGATGAACGATTGGTGGTATATGTACGCAAAAACTGCCATAACCATCTGGGGAAAATATACAAGAACAAATGTTATTTTCAGCTAAACTGCACAGGCTAGGAATATATGAGATATATCGAAGAATAAACAAGTTCATTCAACTTTGTGCATAATCAAGCCTTCTCAGTAATTTCCTCTTTACTCTAAACAATAAGCTTAGACATTTACGTCAATAAGTTGGTTCACAATTGAATTACTAACCACATGCTTCCTCATAAAAATTAAGGTACAAGTAGAACCAAGATGTTGAGGTATATGCATATATATGTTTCATAGCCAGCATGTAAATGTTCTTTGTAGTGACTTACTTGACAGTCCATTCGGTCAGTGATTCCACCATGCCCAGGTATACTGTCACCAAAATCCTATAAAATTTGAAGATGTTAATGGAAGCAAGAACTGTACAATTTTCATACTTCAGTATTCCCAGAGACAGCAACGATATTGAAGCAGTATGCACCTTTATTTTAAAAGCCCTCTTGAAGCCACTTGCGAAAAATCCACCGAATGGTGCAATTATCGATGCAAACAAACCAAGGGCTAAAGCATGCCACTGCACAGGCATTAGGAACACTTCTTTCCATGGAAACTGTCAAGAGACACAAGTAATCAGATAAAGTTCATGGCTAGAAGATCCATAAACTTCGTAAAGATGGTACTAATAAGGAAACAACTAGGTAAAGTAAATAGATCAATTATCATGATGAAGTAGCATTAATTCATCAAACAGGGGGGATTTGATGGATACGAGAAAAGAATAGTCTATTGGTTCAGCTGAGCATTTGGTCACATGCAAATGACCTGATTATGCTTCTCTGAACCTTTCACGGACCAAAATGGGATAGACATCTTCATTGGTCATTCAAGCACTAGATTTGACCTTACCCAAAAGCCTCATGGTTTTAATAAAGATGGCACCTACATGTTAAACTTCCCTGATGTAAATGCTGCTTGTCAGACACATCAGCAGCCACAACAAGTGCCCTGTTATTAACCTTGATTCACATCAGGATAGTTACTGTTGGGAGAAAGACAGATAAGGCTGAGGCCTATATGGACTGAGAAATAGCAAATACACGTGACATACTTTTTCTTGATTGTCGAACACAGCGTTGACCCTTTCCAATTATCAAGAGGAGTCTATGCCATAGAATACCAGTAATATCACTTCTAATCTTCAACTGACACAGAACTGAGACTAACATGTCATGGACACCAACTACTACCGCAGAGAACTCCATAACTCCTGAGAAACTAAACTCCATCTGGATGCAGGACCCTCTCCAGCTCAAGATTCTTTCTTGCCGCTTCTGCCATGCTCTCTGCATATGACTGGCTGCTGCTGATCCTTCTATCTTTGCTGCTTCTGTTCAGGCGCCATGGATAAGGAATGGAGTCACACCGCTGCTGATGTGCTCCACTTCCTTGTGGGCTGCTGCGACCACTCTCGGGGTGGGCTCACGAGGAAGGGCAGCAGGAAGGAGACATGGAGAACGAAACAAATAGAGGAAAGAAGTTTCGAGACAACATGTAGTCCCATTACATTTGCTGATTCTGCTGATTGGTTGACATGTGGTACAAAACCACTTGCATGTCAAAACGCCACAGTAGCCACGAAGAATGAAACTAGAGTAAATTGACTGAAGGGGAATGATGTGCCTTGTCTTGCTGAAGAGTGAGAGTTAGCAACCAAACGGTTTTGAGGTCAAGGTTATTTTTTTGGACTCAGGCAACGGTTGTGAGGCAGTTTTGAGGTCGAGTTTTTTTTTTTGTGGACTCAGGCAACGGTTGCGAGGGGAGGGGGCTTATAAATTTGAACTTTATACTTATGCCAGCCTATATAGTAGAGAAAATAGTATTAAAACTAACAAATTGAAAAGGATATCTTTCTTCTTACCCAATGGGGTGCCCAATCTCCCAGATAATAATGCTCTGGCTTAAACATAGGGCCAGGATCACACTGAAGCCACCCTGTTGACAGGTCCTGAAAATATTTCCAAAATGAAAACTAAGAACAAATTCAACAGGACACCAATTTGTTAATCCAACTAGCAGTCATATTCTGAAATAAATAATAAGTTACCTTTCTTGGGCATGTAAACCACTGGGAGCGACCCATTACATTTGCTAACTGCCAGAGAAAATAAGTGAAAGTGAAAAATGCTATTATAAAGAATTACAAATGAAGCATCCGGAATCATTTTGTGCATCAAATGTGTAACATAAATTATTGTTTACAGATTCAACCCCTTGAAGGTACTAGTAATCTCTTAAGTACATAAACCAGGGCTTCTTCTCACCAGGAAAGCAGAGATGATGGTTGTCACTGATGCACCAATAAAGCCTTCCCATGTTTTCTTTGGAGATAACTTGATCAATGGTGTTCTCCCGAGAAAGAACCCAAATAAATAGGCGGCAATGTCATTGATCACAATGAGTGAAGCAGGTAGAAGAAACCTGTACAAGCATAGCATTGAAGATGTATGGAGTTTGTCAGATACACATGCTAAAATATTAATAGTTACTCGTTTAATTAATATGCATAGAACCAAATTAGACAATTTTTTCAACAGTATATATTACTTAACGATGTGCTATTGCCATAAAGTAGCTTAACTCAAGTCAGATACAAGAAAAAACCACATATATCAAACAGCAACATACATAAATGTTTAGCAGTTTGAGTATAGCTGTTGCAGCCAGCACTCCTAAGTTTTTCTTTTCTTTTCTTTCTGGTGAGGACCTTGATGTTCTTACAGTGGTAGGTCAGACTCCTACTAGAACAAAATCGCAAATGGGTTAATATGGCCAATTCAGTGATATTACCACTGTAACCGAAGTAAAAAGTTTTGGCTACAGCTTTTGTAAAGGAAGCACACTGGGTGGTAATCTGGGAAACTCCTAGTAAGTTGAAGAGGTCCAGGACTTCATGAACAGTATTTTTTACGGCTGAACAAGAAATTAGGCACCTTGATGTAACTTTAACAACTTCAGGTGCTTTTTAAACAAAGAAACTTGGATGTTTAAAATACACCAAACAAATACATGTCAAACGTCAAAACAGGGTAGAAATGGATAAACATTTCACTCAAGTCAGCAAGTAAACATTGTAAATATAAGCATGCTAACAAGATAAATATATGGCTTACCAGAACATTCCTTCAAATATATTTGCCACCGTGAAAGAAGATTGTGCAAAAACCGTTAAAAGAATCATGTGTGTCCAGGCATACTGTTTGAACTGGTATTTGTATGTCTTTTTCTTCAGTGTCAAAATAAACCATACAAATCCTGGATCATGGGAATTATACATTACTTTTATGGCAGATATGAAATAGAAATTAGCAAGACAAGACAAGCAGGTTACTAGAGGGAGGAATGTCTAAGCAAAACTCAAGCAACCAAACAAATTGCAAAATCCAAAGACAATCGGCTTTTGCGTAACACATTGCGTTCTTCAGATTACTTGGGCAGGCATGCATTACATAAAATTTTAGTTATTAACATTCCCAAACCCTAACGCCCATCCAAAATTGGTCAAATGGTGTTGAACCTCCGTTTCTTCAATTCAATCAATAAATATTTCCACTCTAGGAGTTTGCAAAATAGTTGCTAATGCCACAGGTGCACTATCATTTACATTGACTGGAAAACCTATAACCATATAATAACCAAAGTAGCCAAGCAGACCATAAATGTAATAAAGTGGTGACTGCTATATTTTGGGTTAGGTCTTTACACATATTAGCATGTTCTGAAAAAATCTGAAGAAAATATTAAATTTCAAAGTGAATAATTACTAATTGGCATTATTTATGCATTGCAAAACATATTGTGCCTTACCTGAAATATAAAGAAAATAGCAAATAAACATCTGATACTTTATTAGGCCGCTGACGAGCTTATACAACAAGTGATCTGAAGATACTGTGTTAACAAGCTCCCGACTAAGAAAGCGTCCATATGTAAACAACATTGCCGTGAAAAAGAAGTGCCTGCAAAGAAATGGCAGTAACAAATTATATATGCTTTTTGAAAAGCATTACAATGGTGGCAGCTACATCGTCGAGTTAATTGAAAATTTTCCATTCAAAACAAATAGTAGAATCAGAATGACTTGGCACCTACCAATTTAGGAGCCTGAACCCTGGCAGTTGCTTCTCTTCACTGGATTTTCTGAGTAGGTTGAAAAGCTCTGTCGCCATGAATATTTGAATGACAACCACCATGGCCCAGATATAAAGATGGCCCATATAAACTAGGAATGCAAAGCCGCCAATCATCCACACAGTAGAATATGTACGGATAAGCATCGACTTATACTTGTTCCGATCGCTGACAAGCAAAGTGGGTCCATTTGTTCTATTCCCATCGGTTGTAACCTGCAGAAAATATATAATATTAGCTCCAAAAAAATCATGGTAGTCAGCAAAAAGCAGGTGGAAACTCTATCATTGCAGCATGCTCCCATGTTATCACTCAACAAGTACTCCATTAACAACGGTAAATGAACAAGCGATAAACAAATATAACAGAGCAGTACAAGATTTTTTTTATCTTTCTTTCTTTCTGCACATTGTAAGCACTTTTTTACATTGGGGGTTGGTTTTTTAAACATAGCTGGAAGATTTTGTAGCATACCCATCTGATTAATGAATAAATTTGGAGAAGAAAAGGATCAACAACTTTCTCTTGTCTTGAAAAATAGAGACCAGCAGAAAGCCGTGGATGCAACACGCTGCCTGAGAAACTAGAGAGTTTGTCCATTTGCTAAACGACATGGAAAGGAAGCCTGAGCCAAAGGAACAAAATTCCAAGAGATAAATAACCAACCTCATTAGGGCGTCTTCGATTCCTAACACGACCTACATGAGACGCAGAGACGTCGCTGGAGCTGCTCGGCTCCTTCTCCATCGCTGCTGTCAAGCCTGTAAATATGTCACAACTTGTGTTAGATCAGATTCACCCACAAAAGTGAATTCTCACAGCAAGCAGTAAAACACAGAGGATCACACCGCTGTGAATCACCAGGTTGGCTCAACCACCGACGGCTTTACAAATAGATGATCCACGGAACAGACAGACCGCTAATTGGAGAGCACGCGGAGCGGAACTCGCAACCCAGACAATAAGCCGGTGAGGGCCACAGGGAAGTACTAAAACCAGCATTTGTGGGCAGCGGTGGACCAGCCAACCATCCATCCCCAGCATCCTTGGCGTGGCGCGGCACGACAAGCAAGCGCTTAGGGTCCGTCAGTCGTTGCCCCCACGCAATAAACAAACTCCACGCAATAAGCAAGGGAGGTACACATCGCTGTCAGAATCACTCCCCGATTGGTTGCTGACGGCAACCGCTGACCTACAGCTAACTCCAAGCCGTCAATCAACCAACCAGCAAAGTAAACAATCTAAGCATCTCCCCCGGAGAGGCAAGGCGGAATCTATGTATGCAACAACAAAGCAGCAGGCAGCATTCAGGATCGCGTACGTATTCCCCACTTCCGAATTAAGAAACAGACCAAAAGAGCTCCGGAAAGTGAGCTCCGGGCAGCAGCAGCGGCGGCGGGTTGCGGCCTTGCGGGCAGGGAAGGGATCCCTCTCCCCGCGGAACTGGCAGGGAGCGGCGAGCAAGGTAGGGGGCGGGGGTCCTGAACTGAACTCACCGGGGAGGGGAGGGAAGCGGGTTCCCCTCGGCGAGGTAGGGGAGGGCGCGGCCGGGGAGCGAACCCCTGACCCGGCCCCCTCGAGCGGGCGGGCGGGCTCGCCGGAACCCTAGCTCGGCCCGGCGGCGGCGGCGAGCCGAGCGGGGGCTGTGGGTTTGAGTGGGGGCGTGCGTGGCGATGGATTTGATTGTGGTGCGGCCGCGTGTGCGCGTGCGTGCGGGGGTGGGATTTTTATTCTTCTTCCCACTTTGCTTTGTCGGAGGAATAAAAATAAAGGAAGGGTGGGCGTGGAGCCGATTTCCAAGCGCGTCGTACCATCAGATCCGGGGGCCCGTGGGGCGGCACCGAGAGGCCCGAGCCGGCCCACCGTCCTACGAGCAGGTGCAAAACGTTAGGGGGGCTGGGCTCATGCGGCTTAGGCCCTGTTTATTTGGGCTTTTGCTTCTACTTTTGCAGCTTTTTCATTTTGAGTAAAAAAATACATAAAAGCTTCTAAATAGATTGTTCCCTCCCGGTTGAACGAGCCATCATGCTATGCCCATGCGTGCATGCACTTTTGCCATTCTGCTAGCATGTATGCTGGCTTCCGTGCGGCGCATCCCTTCTCTTTCGTTTTCCGTCGCCGGAGCTCGTGAGGATGGTGGGAATTACTTATATCCATGTAGGTTACGTTTGTATTTATCTAGTAATGTGTGTATGCGGAAACTCATGGCGGCATGCAGTGGCGGAGCCAGGATTTAAGCAAAGCCCAGGCCCAAATTATTTTTTTCGACAACAAGGAAAAACTTTGGCACTTATAACTACCCAAAAACACATTATGATATTTAAAAAAGATCATATGCAATAACAAACAAAATAAATCTCAATTGTTCAGCAAATCTAGGATTTAATCTTAGTGCTTATCAATCCAACAGAAGAGACAAAACATGATAAAAACTAGAGACAATACAGGGATATAAAAGAATACCAAATCAGTTGTTTATTTCATTTGCGCCCCCATAACATGATCAACGGCACAAGAAGAAGCAACACCTTCAAGACATCAAACGTGTAATCTCATAAGAAAAGGCATAAACATAATGAAATAATAATGATTAATTAAAATCTAAAATATCATCATCGGGAATACTTGTCGACAAATATCTCTTCATCTTCTATTTCTGCAATATGAAATGAATTGACATAAGAATGCTTCAGTTTCAAATCGATAATGCATATAGAATTAGGCAGGAACGATGACTGAATAGTTGGTTCAAGGTTCAGTTAAACTTTCTTCATATCATACGTAAACAGGGGCTATACATCAATTAAATCGGAGCCCGGAGTCGGGCAGTGAGTAGAGCGGCGGCACGGAGATGGGGAGTCCGGAATCAGGCAGTGGCCGGAGTAGACCAGCGGCGCCGCACGGCTAGAGCAACAGCGACAGACCAGCAGTCCACAGTCCTGAGCAGCGGGGAGCAGATGAGCAGGGGATTGTGGAAGAGAGACGGCCCCGGGCTATGTCGTGGAGAAGAGCGGCAAGGAGCGAGGCATTCCCTGGGACTGGACTGGGCGTGGCCGCGTGGGGGAGTCGCCGGCGGCCCGGCTGCGGCGCGGCGCACAGGAGGGGAGGCGGCTGTCGCGGTCGTTCCGCTCCAGACGTGCGTGCGTGCGAACTACGGTGCCTAGGTCGTGGCTGAGGAAGCTGGGCGTCTAGGCCTTGGCTATGTCGTGGGCTAGGCCCTGGGCCCATATGAAAAACATAGCATGGTAATAGCTAAAAAATAAAACCACGCCCCGGGCCTGGGCCCTGGGGGCCTGGGGTGTAGATCCGCCCTTGGCGGCATGCGACTTCTTGTGACCCATAAAAGATAAAGATAAGGTACAAAAACTCTACAATGTGCATAGACTCCTAATGCTTTTTTTAAACACCATAAACTCCTAACACTAGGTGGTGGGAGGGTGCACGAGATTGATTTGTTTTTATAGGCCGGTTGCTGCTGATTGATTCGAAAAATCGTTGGCCCGAACAAAATCATAAACCAAATCTAAAATTAAATACCTCAATTGAATGAAATAGCTTCAAAGTTAGAGGACATAGAAAATTAAAAAAGAATTGAATGTCAGAGCTCCTTGAGAAATTGTTGACCCACTCAAAATCAGGTGACCGGTTTTAAATTGAAGGCCTCAATTAATTATGAGGCCTTAAAAATTAGGAAGCATACTACATTGTTTAAAAGAATTGAATGAGAAAGCTTTGAGAAATTATTGGCCCAATAAAAATCGGATGATCCAATTCTAATTGGAGACCTCTACTGAATGTGAGCTCTTTCAAACTAGAAAGCATAGTGTTATACAGGATTAGCGATATCTAGCACCTTTTTCAAAAAAAATAGGAAGATAAAAGAGTGAGGATATGGGTTGTATGGAAAACTAGTTGCATGAAGAAATATTTGAAAAAGTGACACACATTTTTTTCATACCTTTTTTGACACAAATGGCACGCTTTGTGTCAAAAGAAGTGTAGCCGCTAGTCCTACAAGTGAGTGACGGGATGGTGTGTCATTTTTGTCAAATTTCCTCTGGCACAAAATGTGCTTTAGACTAATTTATATCACTTGAGAAACCACTATATAATGCATTAGTAGTTACACAATGATCTACAACCTCGCGAGAATGTTATCACCATGACTAACGTCATCGTTCCGAACGCCGAGAACGTCAGCGCCGTTGTGGCTTTGACATTCTTTGCAGCCACCGGCCGACCTGCCAACGCGACCATCGAATATGCAGCCTCGGATCCAGATAGTCAGTTCGACCAGACCTACCCCAAGATTTGCGCACTGGCATAGTGCGCCCCGGACTTGATGGCAAAACTGCCCCAGAAACTTAACTTGGCAGTTCATGCTTGACTTTTTCTTCGGAATGCAAGGCGGAAAAGTTTTCGGCGCGCGGTGCAATTTCTAATACCAGACGTACTCTTTCATCAACGGACTGCCAATTGTGCAACTGTAGAGCCCGTTTGGACCACCACCTTCATCAGCCCCACAACCACCTCTCGGTGCCGCATATCAAATGTCACTTTCATTAAGAGCCGGCTCTTTCATAGATTAAGAACTTTAGGTGCCACACAATGGCATTATTTCGTAAAAGAAAACAAAAGCACATAAGGTTAAACTTCTTGTGTGGAAACTACTATTTAGGTAACTTGTCTTTCTTGCACTAAAACATTTGATATTTCCTACAACCAGGTGCCTGATATGATGGTTGGAGACTGTCCGCACACACACACACACAAGCACACAATGACATGTATTTTGAAATATTGGGTGCACATGATTCGGGGAGCCACCAATATACATTTTCTTGTGTTGATACTTTTCAGGTTTGGATTTATCTGCCAGATAGAAGCAGAGATAAGAGAACTCAGAGTTCTAATTAATAGCCATTCTAGTGCTTAGTGTCGCTGCAGTACTGGCTATAGTAACATGTCTTTATTTCTGGAGGCTACAGAGGAGACGAGAAGCAAAACTTGTATTCATTTTGACTCATCACAATTACGTACCACAATTGATGAAGCACCTGACCGACCACACGTAGGGAAAACAGGGTGTGCTTTAATTGGATATGAAGTATGTCCGCTAAATTTCAATTAATACTGTAATCTTGAGGAGAATAATTGCTGACAGCTTGCACTTATGAAAAAGGTATCAGGATCTAGATTATCAATTAATTTCCTCAAACCCCCAAATGTTTCCCTTTTTGTTTATCGAAACTTACTTTGGCATGAACTAAGCATTACAACCCAACCGTAGCAGCAGTAGCTAGCCGGGCCCTAATCTACCTCTCTCTTTCTTTCCCACTACTTTCTTCTCTCTCTCGTGCTTAAACTGCGGCATCGTCCGCAGGCTACCCCGACACACTGTGAGGCTACCGTTCCTGACACCCGAGCCTACGTTGCCTGCGGGGCAGCTAGCAGAGGCGACGTGGTGTCCACGGCCTCAGCAGAACACATTTGTTTGCCCATCAGATCAAACAACTTGTATAGAAAAAAAAAGACGTCAAGTGGTTCACTCTTTCAACAGTGAACATGATAGACCGGTTCTACTTGGAATTTTTGATGTTTTAGACCACCTACGAGTCATGACAAATGAAATGCCAGAAAGGACCACTTGCTAGTGAAAATGCGAGAAAGG